TAGTCTTAAGACATTACTTTCTTACTCGGTAGAGCTATTGGGAGAATCTCTAACATTCATGGATACAATAAACTTAGATTACTTCCAAACTATCCACAAAAGGGAAGTTACCGTTTCCTAATTGCAAGTACCGCGGGGGTTAAAAAAGCGGCACAGAAACGTTCACGCCAATTCTAACGTTAAATTAACAGTTAGCTAAAATTAACTCACTAGTTTTTTTTAGTTCGCCTAATGTTTTTTCCTCGTAGTTCTATTTCGTATAGAACCAATAAAGCGGCGTTTCAGCCAATAAAAAGACGCTTAACTCGATTTAGCTACAAGCTAGGTAGTAACGCTAAACGGCCAATGCGTTGTTGCTAACGTTAGCTTCTAACGTAATACCATAAACCGGTTTCTAACAGAAATACCGTAGTGTGGGAAGACGTATCCAAACGACCGACATCACACTCGTCGCTGCTTTCGCTTTCATCTCCAGCCGGGTAGACGTTATACATTAAGTGCGACATAAATAAACACGGTAATCTTTTCCCCAACTGGCTAAATTTTACTCCGGTCCGTTAATCCCTTTTTGGGGTTTTGCCCATAAATCGAAAATACGAAGCGGAGCCGCTAAACCGGAAGTACGTAGGTTTTCACAGTAACAACGCAATGTGTAAACAAGAAATCCGCCTGCGATGCCAGCGGTTAAAGTTAATTAATGGATATAAATAAATAATCCTGGTCCGACGGGATGTGTTAGCAACAATAGTTGACAACACGCACACTCGTTGCTCTTGGATCAGATAAGTATTTTCTACGGATTGTCAGTGAAGGCAGAGCAGAGACAGTTCAAGGAGACCCAGAGGCATGCATTTAAACCAGTGATTCATCAATTCATCCTTTGATTTTATTTTGAAGGGACTTTTTTAATTCAGCGGAGTGTCCTTTTTTGCCAGCTCTATGGCGGCAAATCACTGTCAAAGAAAGAGAGCGAAAATCAGGTTGATGCACGCGTAAATCAAACATCCGTGAGCAAAAGTCCGTCTCGCGCGAGCAAAAGTTTGTCTCGCGCGAGATATTTGCTCGCTCGCGAAACGTGAATTTACTCGCTCGCGAGATTAATCTCTGCTCGCGCTCGAAAGTGTTTTCTACGCGCTCGCTGTTTTTCTTTTTGACAGTGAGGGGGCGGAACCACCACCATCTCTACATCTAATTGGTTACAAACCCCGTTTTAGGATTGGCTGGAGTGATGCATCCACACAACTAAGCCCATTTCCGCACTACAGAAAGGGGATAGAAAGTCGAAATTATGAGATTGTCACGTTGTCAAAAAACAAACGCCCCCTTCTGTCATCGTAGTGGACCGTAGATGACAACCAGCTAAACCATCATTTACCATCATTACCGGCACATTAACAGAAAAGCTCTCAGACCGGTCCGTAAATTAGTTTGCTGTTATTTTGAATCCGCCTGACTCCCGCCGCTTCAATTTAACGTTACGTTAACCCTTGACCTCAGCGCTAACATTAATCCCAGCCGTTATTAGCATTGTAGCTTATTGGCTAGCCTCTTTACTAGACTGTCATTAAGCCATGTGTTCATATGCTATCTTTGTGCTATTCTCTTGGTCCAAATTTTGGAAAATAGTTCCAAAACCGAACATCAGCCGAAATCAAGGGGCTTCCTCTAACGTTATGTGTCGTACAAAACCACAAGTCACAATGAACGTTATGATTTGTACATTATCTACCTGTTTATGTTTAGGGAGTCTGGAAATGAAGCAAGGCCGCCCACGGCTCTCGCTGTCGGGGTAACCTGTTGTTGGGTCAGCGAGCGACTCCACTATTTTTTTCTGTTCTTGTCAAAACGTTAGCATTCATTTGTTTCTGTACTTTAAACTCGCATCTGACGTTAATACTTTTGTTTGTTCAAAATGAACTCTAGGACCAGGATGAGTGGATCTTCAGGGGGAATCAAAATATGTCTGGTGAGTGGTTGGGACTATTTTAGTGATCATGTTCTTGATGTAAAACATTTAAACATAAATGTTCCACTGGTGGTTTGGTGTATATATATTTATATTGAAAACTTGTGTACTGCAACAACTGCAATAAGTTGTGGAAGTGGTGGTGGGTTTGGTTTCATCTCACACAAGCTGTTCTCTAGTCATCGATAAATGAACACACTTGAGGAGCTGTTGAGTATTTTTCAATATGTATCTGTGACCGTTAACAAATACATTGGGTCAAGCTTTGACTTGGTTTTACTGAGGCTCACAATGATGCAAACCATTGTTATCTATGACTGTATAAGCACAGCTGATAGAGCACATTTTCCTGGCTGCAGGGCACAGTAAGTGTCCAGCAGAGGACACTCTTCCCTTTAGGCAAAATGAAGTAGCCTTGCCAGTCGTGTTCCTTTACTGATATAACTCAAAAAAGGTGATTTTGCAGAATCTTTTAAGAAGCAGAAAAAAAGAGTCTCAGCTCTCTGCTAAACAATCAATACCTCTCAGCCTCGGGTTGGACCTGGGGAGACCATGAGAACATGGGAGTTGTTGTCCCCATATTAATTTAATTGTGTCAGTTGGATATTCTGTTTTATCAGAGCACAGTAGCTTTGTGAACACACGCACAAGCACACCTTTTCTTTGCTAAACCAGAGCCTTCATTTATTTGACGGCTTTCAAATGTATTTCAACAACAAATTAGGCATGTTAAGCTCTCTTTCATCTTTTACTTTACAGATAAAAATGTATTATATTATATATATACCTCCCCTTGGTTGTTCATTTCGTACCTGCAGTACACATAGATGTCCGTATATTTCTGTATTTTCAATTACTGAAACTGAAACAGGGCTTGAAAGCAAGGGTGGCCCGCTTACCTGGTAACAGTAAAATTCTGTGAAAAAAAAGTAAACCACATTGTTTTTTCCAGAGTGAGTCATGTTACTTTCAAAGAGTAACATGGTCAGTACTGAGTGAAATGTGTGTTTTGAAGCTTCATTCTCCCTACTGCCCACCAGAAGGTGACTCCTCTTGTTCCATAGAAGTCTATGAGAAAATGACACTATTTCTCTCTTGATTTATTCCCTCAGTAAACATTATAAACATGCGTTTATGGTCTCACTCTCTAGTGTAAAGTCTTCTTCAATACACCATGATGTTCATTTTTTTAAATTTATAGTCTATTTAGAAACAGACCATAAAGAAGGAGGGTACATGTCAGAGACTTTAACGCAGTCTCTAAGTCAGTCCTGCGCGTTCCAATTTTTTATTTATTTATTATTTAATTTCGTTTATTGGCTGGAAAACAAAAATGCGACGGCCTCCATCAGAGATGGCAGCAGCGGGATCGGCAAACTTAAAGGTTCAAAACATCAGTCCCCGAACCAATGAGGTGACGTCACGGTGGCTACGTCCACTTCTTATACACCTTCCATGGTAAACACAAAGGCAAGTAGATTTCTGACTCTCTTTCCCACAACAACATTCAAGTTGAACCCTCTTCGATACAAAGTATTCAATCTAGATGTTCTCACATTACTTAATAATTCCTCAAATAACCTCCTAAACTTGTCTCTGGTGCCAGGCCTTGGCTTTGCCCTGCTGCTTTACAGTCAAACAGTGACGGGGCACCGACGTGAGCTCAGAATTCAAGTGTTCCAGCAGATCCACCCGGCCCGTGTTTCACTCTGTCCGTATCTGCAGTGCTGAGAGCTAAGATAAGATTTAGTTAGTGTGTTGGGATACTCTCCAACCAAGAGGGTTTACCACGTCTTCACACGTTATCTCTGTTCCCTCACGGAATGTCTGGAGGTTTTGATCTTCCCTCTGCTGAAACTGTGAGTAATCTGAAAATGATCATAACAAAACAAAAAAATTTCAAGTTCGTTGTCAGCTGTCCCGGGAACTGTTTCTGCTATTTTGTGAATGATAGCGAGGCAGAGCAGCGGGGCCACAGCTCGATGACCAGAAACCCCCCCCCCCCCACAAAATGAATGTTTTCTTCCTTCTATTTAAATTTTCTATTAATCAGTGGTTATGTAGCACAAAAAAAACAGAAAATCGTCATTCTTTACCCGCCGTCATTTTAGCATATGTCTTATAAATAGGCGGCAACACCCTGTCCTGAAAAGTGAAGGCTTTGATGACGTGCCTTAAAGCTGCATTCTCTGTAGTGACCAGCAGGGGGCGACTCATCTGGTCCCATAGAATATGAGAAAATGACTTACATCTTGGTTTATTTCCTCTGTAAACATGGATGCATGGTCCCATTCTCTCATTTCAAGTCTTTTTCAATACAGCATGTTGTTCTTTTAGTACATTTTGATCAATTTAGAGTTAAACACCATAAAATATAAGGTGCTTTAGAGCGGGACTAATGTGACTGACAGGTCACTAACAGACGTATATAGCCAAAATGTCCACGCTAGGGATTTCAAACCGGTGTTTCACTGTCCAATGGGTTGTGTCTTGTCGCCTTTGTCTCTGTTTTATAAAAGTATTCCTATAACTCCAAGTTAAGCTCCCCCCTGTCATGTAAAGGAGGCATTTCTCATTTTGAATATACTCTAATACTAATTATTCATCTTTTTGCTTGGGACCATGTAGCAGCTGTTGTCTGCCAGTGTGCAGTTGTGTCTTTTAATTCAACAACATCTGATTTCAACTTTATTTGATACACGAGGGCTGCAAAGTGACAAGAAAGGCTGTATCTCTAACATAGCACAACAATGTCCTCAAGAGACCTCAAAAGGAATTTAAATAAGACAAATCCAACACATTTAGATGTTCCCTATTATTAAGTTAGGGGACAACTAGTCCACGTGGCCTAGTCTCTCACTGATGGTCTACGGATCAATGCCTGTCTGAAAGTGGACTCGTTCGGACCAGCAGGCTTCACCCCCTCATCTTGTTGCCACAACACGCGACAGGAGGCTCGGCAGCGTGGAAATGACGCATGCGTCTCCTGCGTTTCTTTTTTCCTTTTTTTTTGGCGAGCCCATAAAGGATGGACTGTCCCCTCCGCTGTCACGCAAAGCAGCAGAGAGACACAGAGAGAGACAGCGAAACCACTGAAAAGACGCACGACAGGACAGAAATCACTGTTTTTTTGCAGGGGGAGGGGAAGAAGTTAACCGAAAGGTGACATCGTATGTACTGGAGGATTTAAGTTGAGTATTAAAAAAAAAAAAAAAAACTGTGGGAACAGATCTACTTGCGTGGGGGACAGGTGGGGGGGGGGGACAACACAGATGTGAGCGACGTGCAGCAGACGGACTCAGGTGCACACAACCAAACTGGCGGCGCACTTAGGATGCAGAAGTCACCGGTGGAAGATGCCAACTTCCTCTCCAGATATTTCTTCTGGTAAGACGCGTTCTGTCCTTTGTTTTTTCTCAATATTTATTAGAAGGCTTCACTTGGGTGTTAACACGATCTGAGGTTTTGAAGGTCATTTATTTAAGACGCAACTTTGACGGTTTTAAAGCTTTTTTTAATTTACCGCCGCATGGAAGCAGGTGAAACACCGCACACAGAGAACCCAAGCGGTGTTACAAAGTGATGTCACGGACTGTCTTCATGTCCACTTGTGCTTCCAAAAGGAGATGAACAACAATATGCGTCACTCTGAAAGTGCAGGCGAGTTGGAGATAGTTTGCCTGATCCGTGCGTAAAATGCGCAAATTGTGGTTTCAAACTGCGCAAAACGAGCTCTTCTCAAATGTACGGCACGTTTATTAGAAAGTCATTATTAACGGTAATTCAAAAATCCCTTTGGATTTGAGTGCGATTTGAATGATATTCTATTAGAACATTTACCTTTTTATATCCTATTTCTTGGTATGTTACCGTATAAAGGAGCGCACTGACACGAGCTCTCCTCACTAATGCGAGGTCCCGCAGAATGAAGCCTGGATGATGTAAAAGTACAGTTCAGTCACAGGGACAGGAGGCAAACATCTGACTTTATCTTCTTTCCCTGTCATTAGTGTGAAACCTCATCGGATCACTTCTGTTCCAACCAACACCGACTCCCATTAAAGCTCCCAGAGGCTCTCAAATAGCTCCAACTAATCTGAAAAAGTCTTTGACCAACTGTACACGAGTGGCACATTTATTATCATTATGTTCTCCTCTGTTCTCGTAATGTTTCCATCCTACTTGTCCTATGTGTTGTAACTATTTTCTGTTGTTCATTTCATGATTTCTTTTTAAATTATAACCTTTTTTCATCCTGATTGATGACCGTCCTCTTATTTCTTCCCTTTTTTATTCTGCCTGTTAATAGTTTAGGCAGTTAAGGCAGTTGGTGACATTGTGCTCTTTAAACGCAATCTTGATGTCGTCTTCTTCTTAGACCGTTCTTTTCTTTCTCGTTTCAAACACCTAACGCGGCTTCCTCGCGCAGGTGGACGACGCCTTTGCTGAGGAAGGGCTTCAGGAAGAAGTTGGAGCTGACGGATGTGTACAAGGCTCCTTCTTTTGATCTGGCAGACAACCTCTCTGAGAGACTCGAGAGGTTTGTGCAGTTTGAGTTGCTTACGTGACTCCAGTGTTGTTGTTGTTGTTGTTGTGGTTTTTTCCTGTGTGATAGTTGTGCTGCAGACCCGGCTCATGAAGAGATCGAAGATGATGGGAGAACATTTAAGAAGTAAACTCTCATGCCGCCACCTGAGTCTTTGATTATGACAGATGTCTCTTATCATTATAGTGGTGACGTAATCAAGATTTGTTTGTTTGCTAAACTTTGACACGTGGGCCAGCTGATGGCCGCTGCTCGTTTTCTTAACTGGACCACAGTGGAATTTAAAGAACTAAAGTAAAGTAACTTACTTAACTTAAAGGCAGCTTCAAGGATCAAAGTAGCGGTGAAGAAATTGTAACAATCGACAAGGTAGGAGAAATCCCCCGTGGTGTTTTTCCCAGGTGTCCTTTTACCTGTTTACAGTAGCTGTGCTCGGACTGGAGTTAAAATATGGGCTGTGTGCTCTACAGACCAGCACAAGGGTACATCTTCTCTTTTCTCTTCAAATAAATCCTGTAAATAAAAGTCCAGTCATGGCCAAAGCATCTTCTCATCAAACACAAGCAAATAGGATGTAAAACAAAAGAAAGAAAGGAGGGGGAGGATTAAACAGTGGACCGTGGTGTCCCGCATGGGCCTCTGCCCTTTGGTTACCCGGGGCGCCGCGTCGCGCAGAACTCTGCCAACAAGCCGGTTAATGTACACGGGTGTTGAAGAGACGACCTTTGAAAAAGGGCCCGCCGGGTGACGAATGAGCGGCGCTGCGGCATTCCGCTTTCTTTACTCTGGTCAGCCGAACGCCAAAGGCTTCTGGGAATGTGAACTTTACAGCTCAGTTCAGCCCAGTTCAGCCCAGTTCAACTCAGTTCGGCCCAGCTCAGTTTAATTCAGCTCAGTTCAGCTCAGTTGATATTGTGCACATGACAAGCTAGTAGTAATAAATGTATGTGAAAAACAACAAAATAAACGTGTAGAATATGTATCTGTGGTGATAATGTTGGTAAAATAGACGTCCGATTTACAAACTTAATCAATTCAATTATTCTTTAAAAACAACCAAGGCCTAAAAATTCAAACCTTCCCTTCCTGCTCGATCCTCTACTCGAGGCTGAAAACTAAAGGTGACCCGGATTTTGCCTTCAAAGCCCTTGAAAATGTTTTAAGGATGATATATAAATAGTTATTATTATTATTTTATAGTCGGGTTGTTGGCAGCAGTTGTATCTGAGGCTGCACTTGTCTTGGTCCATTGGTCACCGGATGTTTTGGTCTTTGTTGACTAATTACTTATTTCTTCTTCCCAATGTCTTGAAGAACTGGTGGCAAACTAAGTTTTAAAGATGTGTTTTTGTGCAATCCTTTGGTGGAGAAACACTTCAGACTTTGTCTACTTAGTCTTGTTTTTTTTAAATGTATCCCCTTCTCCCTCCCTCTTCCCTCGTTCTCCTCACTTCTTCTTCTTCCATCACTCACCGTGAGCCGGTCCGCCAAGTCGCCCCGTTTGTAAACCTCCCTCGGAGAACAATGCGGCTACTTACTGCAGCTGTGAGCACAGTTTGTGGGAAGTTAATCAGCCCGCTTGGAAAGGGAATCTTTACGACTGAAACGCACGTTACAAAGCTGAGCTCCATGAGTTATAGATCTGCAAATTAGAGGAAATGAAATGTCATTTTACTGTTGTTTTTTTCAATGACTTTCCTATTGATAAGAATCGATGAGATAAGAACTTGGAATGAAAACACAAACAAACAAAGTTGTTCGTCCAACCGAACTGTTCCTCCCTCCTCCCCGCAGAGAATGGGACAGAGAGGTGGTGTCGGACAAGAAAAAGCCACGGCTGATGAATGCGCTGGCCCGCTGCTTCCTCGGCCCCTTCGCCTTCTTCGGCGTCCTCCTCTACCTCGGGGTGAGTCTGGGAGGAAGTCGTTAACTCTGAAGTAGATGGAAAAGCTTTAGTCTGAACGATAGCTTGTAGAAAACAAACGTGGATGTAGTTTCCTGAAGGGAGAGTTTACAGCTGTGGTTTGGGTTCAGAACAGAAAGTCTTCTGAGAGAATCAGGAAGTCTGAATCCGGACGGCGAGATGGTTGAAGTTTCCGGGAGAAATGAGCAACCGTCCTCGACCGTCACCTCAAAAAACATGATTCACAACAACTACCATCTCCAGCCAATCACTAATCATTATGCTTATGATCAGTGTATGTGTGTGTGTGTGTGTGTGTGTGTGTGTGTGTGTGTGTGTGTGTGTTGTACCTGTTAACAGCACTGAAGTGTTGAGGAACCATTGAAGCCACAGAGCTGTGAAACACACACACACACACAATGTAGTCATAAGCATGTCTCACCAGAGTGTCGCCGGACCACCTCGCTGTCCCGGCGACGCCGCCGCATCAGTTGGTACAGTTGGTTGACCGGTTGTCACGGTGCTAAGAATGCCTGTTAGGTGTCAAATACGGTGTGTGAGGGGTGTAAAAGAAATGTTTTGGGGAGGGATTTTTCTCAGTAGAAACAGTTTTTTAAAATTATGTTTTGAAAAAAATGTATTAAGTCTAAATCTGCTTTATTTTTCTGTGTTTGTAACATTTCTATTGGACATTCTTTATTATTCCATCATGCAGTAGCACTGAATTCTATCCATAACAAGGAAAATCAATGCTCGACTTTATTTCCCCTTTTCAGTAACAAACTAGAGCATGACTCCCATGCTACACAATAACGAGTCCTCAGAGTAACTCGGGTGAAAACCGGTTGTGGTCTCTCCTCTCACTGCAGGAGGCCTCCAAGGCGGTGCAGCCTCAACTTCTGGGCCGCATCATCGCCTCCTTCGACCCGTTCCACTCTCCGGAGCGCAGCCAGGGCTACTTCCTGGCCCTGGGCCTCTGTCTCCTCTTCACCGCCCGCTTCCTGCTGCTGCAGCCCGCCATCTTCGGCCTGCACCACCTGGGCATGCAGATCCGCATCGCCCTCTTCAGTCTCATATACAAGAAGGTAAGGGGGAGGATGGGGACCGCAGTCTGCTGATTTTAGAAATAGTTCCTTAAAGTTAGTTTTGGCTTAACTGTACATTATTATGCATCAATCTCCAATCCAACAGAGGCTCGACAAATAAAAGAACTGTGAGGAACCGAGAAGACAGCAAATGTAACCGTTGGATACGGCCAAAGACTGTAGTGTTCTTTATGCATTATGTACATTTGTATTCTTATCCTACTCTTCCTTGTGCAGAGTTCAAGTTCAAGTTTCCCAACAGTTTTGTCTTGTCGTTGAACATGAATTAAAGGAAGAAACCATTTAGTGTTTTAGGGGTTATTTGGACTGAATGATCCACCTTGTTCCTAGAAATACGTAGGGAGTGAGGAGACGCGGCAGCCGGTTTGCTCTCTAACGATTCACTCGCTCTTGTCCTGCCCCCCTCCCCCTTTAAACAGACCCTGAAGCTGTCCAGCCGAGTCTTGGATAAGATCAGCACCGGTCAGCTGGTCAGTCTGATGTCGGCTCACCTCAACAAGCTGGATGAGGTCAGCTGACATGTCTCGTGCTTCTTTCCCATAAGCCACTACTGTCTCTCTCGCATTTCTTTTGTTGGCTCACATCTCATATTCCTTATTACAGCTTTGTTTTTTTCTGAAGTATTATCAAAATAAGTAGGATTTATCTAATAAGTCCCGCACCTCTTTAGAAGCAGCACAGCCAGGATTACAAATCCCTTAAATATTGTCCTTTTTAAAATAAATTTGATTTCTTTGATTGATTTTAGAATAATATTGACCCATCCGGTTTGTTTTAGGACCTTTTCCATGAGAAGTTTTTGTCTGTGATACATTGTGTAATATTTGTTTATGTTGAAGAAGTTTGAACTGATGAAGTGAAGAAAATGCAGCTTTAACAACAAAGTGCAGGACTTTGGTTTTAAATTGACCTTTTTTTTCTTTCATTCAAAGAAACAGTAGTTTGACTCCCTCACTGACTTCAGTGAATACAGTTTTATTACCCAACACAGAGCTCTGTGTTCTTCATACAAAGGACCAATTAGAGGGTCAATAGATCCGGAACAATACACACACACACAGACACACACACACATACACACAGACGTTTGCAAACAAACACACAATGAGTAGTTTGTATTTAAGTATTCTGGATCTGTGATAAATGACAACGTAGCCGGAGGGCGAGCGTGCCTGTGTGTGTGTGTGTGTGTGTGTGTGTGTGTGTGTGTGTGTGTGTGTGTGGTCTGAACTCGGTCTTACCTCAGGTCTTAAGGTCTCACTGAGGCGTTGAATTTGTAAACACTCTGTAACCTGCATCGAGACAATTATCACCCGGCTCGGATGTGACTTGGCTGATGCGCCACTCTCTCCCTCTAATGACTGGTGGGGTTTAATAGTGCGTGTGTGTGTGTGTGGGGGGGTCTCACGTTACAGTACATCTGAGGTTTACAGTCGACACGTTCTCTCTCTCGCTTTGTCTCTTTGGACTTTTTAGCTTGGTTACTTTTGTGACTTCACACACTCTTTCCGTCATTTGTCACCATTATCTTGGTTGTGGTAGTAGACATCTTTTTAATGCTTTTCGAAATGCTGAATGATTTGTTTGCAAAAGACATTTTTGGGTAATGTAAATAAAAGATAAAGTGTGGATTTTGTATCAATTGGTGTGGTACAGGCCACACAGTTCTACTTACTGTTTATCTTTGACATTACTGCAGTTTTCTTTATCCGCAGGCTGTAACTAACACATCAGACAACGGGCGCGGGTGTGTGTGGGGGGGGAAGAGATGACGCTCCTCAAATGTCTCACTATAAGATGTTTAAATATTCCCCTGGTCCTAGAGGAAGTCTTTTTACAGTCTCCCCATGTTGATCCGTGTATGTTTTCTGTTGCAGAGCCTGGGTCTGGCCCACTTCATCTGGATCACCCCCCTGCAGTGCATCCTGTGCGTGGGTCTGCTCTGGGAGCTGATCGAGGTGAACGGCTTCTGTGCGCTGGCGGCGCTCACCCTGCTGGGCATCATCCAGGCCTGGCTCTCCCAGAAGATGGGACCTCACCGGTAGGGGGAGGGGGCGCATCTGCTCGTATTCATAAACATGCATCAGAATATCTACTTGTTTCTACTCTCTGAAAATTTGGCAGCTTTTATCTATATTAATCTCCTTATCACGACGTTGTAACTTCTCGTCCAGCAGGTTGTTAAACTCAAACCTTTTGATGATGTCGTATTCATAAACGTGCACATTGTGATCTGGGTTGTCGTGTCTCGTGTGAACAGCGCAAAGCGAGGAGGAATGATCAGCCGCCGCCTTGCTCTCACCTCGGAGATCGTGGAGAACATCCACTCTGTGAAGGCGTACGGCTGGGAGGAGGTGATGGAGACAATCATCAAGAACATCAGGCAGTGAGTCCCCAGAAACCGTCTGTCTCCGTTTGGACTGCAGCGTTAAAGCAGAGAAACAATTCTTTTATCCCTAAGAAATGATGTTAAAACATCGTTGTAAAAGGGATCTGGATCTCTGTAGCCGGAGTTTTGGTGTAAATGCTAAAAGTATGTTTTGATGCTACGTTAACTCTGATAATCACAGCATTGTGAAAAACAAATCAGCAATAAAGCTTCGTTCTTCTAGTAATTTATTCATTATCTTCTTGTTTTTTATTTCATTTTTTTCTCCTCAGGGAAGAGATGACGCTGACGAGGAAGATCGGCTCGCTGCGTTACTTCTACAGCGCCTCCTACTTCTTCTCCGCCATCTTGGTCATTGTGTCCGCCATTGTGCCGCACGCGATCAGCAAAGGCATCATCCTGCGCCGCATCTTCACCACCGCCTCCTACTGCATGGTGCTGCGCATGACACTGACCCGCCAGCTGCCGGGATCCATCCAGATGTGGTACGACACGCTGGCGCTGGTCAAGAAGATCGAGGTGGGTTCAGAGAGGAGACCCCCCACCCCCCCCCAGCCCTCGCCGGATTCTCCGGGTCTAATCTCTGTGTGTTTTCTTTTGTCTCCTCCAGGAGTTCTTGATGAAGGAAGAGTACAGAGTTCTGGAGTACAACCTGACCACCTCTGACCTGGAGCTGGTCAACGTCTCTGCATCCTGGGACGAGGTTTGTTTGCTGAATATTTACATCGAGTTCTGAGGGTTTTAGAGGGTTTTAGAATGTCAAAAATGTTAAAATACTTTAAAGTATACCCGGAGAACTTCCAGACTTTTCTGGATGACGTAACGTGCGCGGCACTTAGTTACAAATGTCCCATTCTCGTCTCAAAGGAGCTCTATCCCACAAATCAAAGAGAACATATCGGCTGATTCTGATAGCAGGCCAGACTCTCACTGGTTTACGGTAACCACGGCAACACTCGGGATGCACAAACTGGGCTGAAAACCTGCTGAAACTAATCCTTCTTTGTCCTGCGCATCCTTAATATCCTCAGTTTGTGGCAAAAGTCATCCCAAAATAAGAAGAATAAAATGGCTTCATGGCAGCATCAGAGTATTGCCCCGTAATGGCCGTGGGAGAATCGTTGTTGCTAATCAATCAAATGATAACAAAACTTTAGTAACAGTACATAAATTGTCAAATCAATAGAATGGAATCTTATGTCAACAGAAAAGTAACAAGAATGTCCATTTAAATACTTTGTTTGTCCAGCTGAGAGCCAAATATCTAAACTTATTTTGTAACATATTTATGTAAAAAGAATAGAATTAGCTGACAAATCGTTGTCTGACTCTCAAATTGTCAATATTGTTTTTGGTGTTAAGAAATATTGGCCCCATAACTCCCCTCCCATGTTTTAGTGTGTTTACCGTGAGAGAGAAGTTAGAATCTCCTGTGAATTACAGGTGTAATAGTTAATCCCTCACCTTCACTGTGAGCGGGTCCGATGATCTTATCTATAGGCACAGGCTGTAAACCTGGTCCCAGCAGGTGTGATTCATTGACCACCCGACACCGTGAGAAAACCAACATCCACCCCATCACTTTGCATAATTAATTACCCCGGTGTCGTCAGCACACTTTGCCTCTTGCTGGGAACACTAAGTAGGTGTCCATCACCTAATTCCCAGAGTCTCCCCCTTGCCTTCTCCCGTTCCGGGAATGTGCCATTCTGCAATGAATGGGGGGGGGTGTTGCTTTTCTTCAGGATGGGAATCTTATGGGTCGAACCTCCACAAACTGGTCGAGAGGAACGGTGACCCATCAATGATCAATGATTGTGTCGAGTGGAGTTCCCCTTTATTTTTATTTTTTCCCCCGTTAATCTTTACGCAGGCGGTGACGGATGAGGCGGCGTAAGCTCATTGTGAGACTTTAGGGAGTCTTCTCTTGTCTTTGGAAAATCTCTTGTTTCTCACTGCAGTCTAGCCTGAAGTAAACTAAAAGGAAAAAACACAAGTGGAATAAATGGCATGCACAGCAGTCGCAGAGCGTAGTGCCAAAGCAGTAGCCAAAGATTGCATAATGTGCTACATTGTAGCGTACATTATCATTGTACATAATATCATGGACTACGGAATACCATAGTATAGCAGACCTTAAACTCATGGCGAGCGGCTCTTGACTCTTTAACTTAACTTAACTCCTCCGCAGGGCATTGGTGAGCTCTTTGAGAAGATCAAGCAGGAGAACAATGCCAACGGACACCTGAGCGGCGACGCGGGCCTCTTCTTCACCAACCTCTACGTCACGCCCGTCCTCAAGAACATCAGCCTCTATCTGGAGAAGGGCAAGATGCTGGCGGTGGCCGGCTCCACCGGCTCGGGGAAAGTAGGTCAAAGAAAGCCGGAAAAAAAAACAAGTGGCGCTCTTGGAGAATGTCTTGTTAAGAAAAATCACCTCCACCCCCAGAGTTCCCTGCTGATGATGATCCTCGGAGAGTTGTTGCCGTCGGAGGGGAAGATCAGACATAGCGGGCGCATCTCCTTCTCGCCGCAGACCTCCTGGATCATGCCGGGGACGATCCGGGACAACATCCTGTTCGGCCTGACCTACGACGAGTTCCGCTACACCTCCGTTATCAAGGCCTGCCAGCTGGAGGAGGTACCTTCACTCCTCTTGCACAGCTCGTTGCATAGCCTGACGTGACACGCGAGCGCCGCTTCTCTTGTCGCACAATGCAGGTTGCAGAGTGTTTTCTTTTTCCCGGGCACAGCAGTTGATGTTGATCATTTCTCGCATCATAAAAGAGGCTGCTATTTTCCCCCAGGTTTATGAATACCAACACCCATGCTTTGGTGAAAACAGTATTTGTAGCATGTCCGAGGAGACGGAAACACGCAAGCAACTAGACCTAAATGGAACAATCCTGTTGTTTTGAGTTTGGGACAGGACTGCGGTGTGATTTAATGCGAGAGGGAGATACTGAGCATGTCTCCCCGAGACGTGTGGCTCCGGATCGGGTTCGGTTTCACTCAATCCCTTCTCCTCCACCCTCTCCGCTAACTTAACCAAGTTTTTAAGCAGAATTCTTCTTTGAAAACCCAGACAAACCGCGGAAGAGTTTGAATAAAACAAAATAAACGTCAGCTTATAAAATGTTTCCAAAGATGGCGAGTAACGCTGCTCTGATATCTGATATTTCCATAAGTCGTCCCCTCTAAAATCCCTTGTGACGTTTAATTGAAGCCTCTGACATAAAGATTTGATTCACTGTAACTCGCTCAGTCACACACAGCTCTGAAAATGACTTTTTTCAGGCAATTTCAGGGCAGTTTTCTGTGTTAAATCTCTCCCCTTTTCATTGGGTTGATGCTCTTTGCTCAGTTCGGGGCCTCTGCGAGGCTTCGAGAGGGATCAGGTTTCGCTCCACATTTACACAAATTATGTCCCTCAGAGACACACACGGCTGCACATTCTCTGTCTCCTACATCGGTACACACACACACACACTCAGTCAGTCTCATAAGCCTCAGTGTTGAGTGACAGGCCATCTCAACAGAATAATGTCTCCTCTGTTGCCATGGAAATCCCACGCTATGTCACTGGGATGGAACATGAGCTTGTTGGTTCCCATTGAAAGACGTTTGTTCTACGGGACGAAAGCATTAGAGCTTTATGACCAAAATATATTTAGAGAATATGTCTGAATAAAAACAGACATCATTGTGATCACAAATTTTCAAACTACCACAACCTTGAAAAAAATGTTGCTAATAATACTTAAATTAAATTAAATTGTTCTTAGAACCTGTTTGAACACAAAGTTCGTGCTCACATATCATTGTTCTTTTATTTACACTAAAACCAGTGCAACGTGCCACTGACTGGAGTTTAGATAAAAACAAAACCTGTTGTCACAGCAAACAAAGGTGGCAGGCCACACTGACCCCTCGGTGTACTGTACAAACAAAAAGAATCCATTTCGTCCTCTACAAGTACCGGTTGTTAACGATCTATCTTTCTATGAATCTCTATGAAGAGGCGGGAAATGACTTTAAAAATCAACAGCGAGTGACGCAGAGAGCCGATCCCGACAGAACCAGACGTTTTGGGGGGGTTGCCGACCATAAGTCCACAACTACCGTTGCCCCCGCTCTCTCAAAGCCCCACACAGACTGCCCCGGGTGGTCTCCCCGTCGTTAAAACGTATCTTCTGCCTCCCCTCGTTGGTCTTTGTTCACAGTGACACCCACACGTTTCTCTCTTTAACTGTGCTGCCTTGTTTCTTACAACCTGTTAACTTGACCCCCCCCCCCATGCGCCCCCGTCAGGACCCCGGACGTTGTCGTTAATACAGGTAGGATGTGCTTTGTTTTTTTACCGATGACTTTTTACCGTCACTTCATCCTCCTCGGTGTTTTCCATCCAGCAGCGTGTGTGACATCATTCCCTTTGTGCTCCCTGTAAATCCTCTGATTACAACAACAGGACGGCTTTAATGTCACACATACCAACACGCCTTTGGGCTGTTTCATTCATGCAGACAGCATGAACGGTACCTTTCCGTGAAAAGAAATTAACCTTTTTATCGTTATTCAACTGGTGCGGTTTCATTAAACTGAGAAGAAAAGACTCACTGAAATGTCTTTTGAACTTACACTCACACAGCAGCATGGTCCTATTTATGTATTTCTTCATTTATTTCAGGTGAAAGTAGAACTTTTTACTAAGCTGTGCTGTTTCCAGCTGCTGCTGGCGTGTGTTCCAGTCGAATCTTTGTTTCCTTAGTCAGAACATACTGGAAAGATACTGGAAGACATGAAGTCACTTCGTCCCCCGAAACCATCCGCACACTCAACATGTGCGCCTCATTGTGTGAAACATGAACTCTGCAGCCGTTCATTTCCTGTTAGTTCAACAATAATGTAGCGTAAAACTCGGCTTATTGAAACATTTCATCACCTGGACGCCGGCCATGTTCGGAGCTCCTGCATCTTTTTATCTTAATGTTCTGCGTGTTAATGATGTGTTTTCATTCCAGTGAGCAGAGATAACGGGAGAAAGAGGTCAAGCTCACAGTTTCCATTCAGTACATGTAGCATGTAGCACGCCGCAAGATGTGGACTTGTGTCTTATGAAATATGAGCTGATTTGCATCTATTCCTGGAAAGAAATCGGAACTTTGGTTAAAGGCGAATTCCAAATTCTTGGTTCAGTTTGATGAATCAAATATTTTAACTGAGGGAATGTTTGATATTTCTTTTGAATTACTCCATAAATCAAAAAATACTGTCAATAGCCTTAAAAAACAGTTTTGCCCTTGTTTTTAGCTAAGAAATATTGCCTATAATGTATGTATGAATCTGTAGAGGAATGAAGTGTGAGAACAAAGTCATTTAGAGAAAACGGCCTTTTAGTTTAGTTTAGTTTAGTCACATGCGGAAGGTGGAGAGGGTCAAGAATTAAGCAAACTGTGAAGAATCATCACTGTGAATTTGTTTAATGTAATAAGCTATCTAAAATGTATATATGTCCAAATGGACATTATGAAATAACTTTTTAACTTTTGGTGAATTTAGCATCAATTTAAACGTAAAATAAACACTCATGCTTTTTTGTGTTATCAAAGCAAAATACTGCAGCCCAACATTTTTAAATCCCTCAGTTCCTGAAAAAAAATTATAAATCATAGCTAACTAAACCGTTAGTTTAGTAAGAGCAGTGTTTTCTCAGAATTAATCGTTTGTATCAAGTATCAGAACGTTCATGTACATTTCTGGATTTGACCTACTGACCCCCCTGTTTTTCCTCTCCAGGACTTCGGCCTGCTGCCCGAGAAAGACAAAACGCTTCTCCTGGAGGGAGGGGTGACCCTCAGCGGGGGTCAGCGGGCTCGCCTCGGCCTGGCCAGGTACTTCCTGTCCCACGTGACTCTGCTGTGGCTCATGATCATTCAATCAATATCAAGATCACTAATATTCAGTTATAAATGTGGAAACGGACAAACATGGGAGCTTCAACTCGTTTTCATCATCTCGTTTCTCAGCCAAAGTCGTAGCGGAAAATCTGGAAATTATTAATGTGAATCATCCTCATAGTTGTGACGAATGCAGCATTCTTTTTAAGAGATAAAGAGAGATTTTTTTTTTAAGAGAGGCTGTGAACCGATCATCCTTATTGACAACCTCGTCGCATAATCCTTCTCTGGTGGGTCGACTTTCTGATGCCGAGTGCTTCCTGCGTCTCCCGGCGGTCGTTTGTTGCTCCATTACAACCTGAGGTCAGACGCTCTCACAGCGCCGTGCATTATTTATTGCTGTGAAGGGGTTAGGGTGTATGAGGTACTTATCTAGAGGCCGGATGCTATTTACAGTAGGTGACGCAGGAACCAAAAGCTGTATATAACAACTGGACGTGGTCACCAGTTTGTGGACGGCGGTTTTGGAAGTCACCTGTTGGGCGATTCCTTCGCCGCCGTCTTGGGCCGTTGCCAAGAGAAGAAAGTTACCATATTTGGAATGAGGGCAAGTGACCTATTAGACACAGTTCTTGAATATACGTCTCTGGTAGTGGCAGACTTGTCAATCACAGTAAGCTCCTCCCTCAATCACTCCCTGCGTAATATCACGCTGGCTTCAAGAAGGCTGGGCCAGCTCACATGGCGAGGTGAAATATCCTTAAAATAGCATTCAGTTGAGCTGACATACAGTAGTCGGCGTCATCTGCTCTGCGTAACACATGGACTGTGGCCTCACACAACCCCCCTTTAATAACAGCCTCGTTGTTCTCCCCCAGGGCCGTGTACAAAGATGCAGACCTCTACCTGCTGGATGCACCGTTCACCCACCTGGACATCGTGACGGAGAAAGAGATCTTTGAGAAGTGTGTATCCCAACAGAGCGTCTTTCATGTGGAGGGAGGGGAGGGGGGGGGCTTAAGTTCAAGGTTGTCTCGGGTCGACTGTGGAGCGCTACGCTGCTTCACCACACTGTTACATTCCCAGGAAACGGGAGTGAAGCGAGGAAGAGAATTATGCTTTGATGAAATGTGGCGGCCCTTCAGAGAGAAAAGCATCTCGGCTTTGTAGGCGGAGCCTGAACACATGGTGGTGATAGAGGAGCAGAGGAGGGTCATTCTGTTTTTGACATCTCAACCAAGATTTGACACCTCAACCAGTCTTTTAGAGACATCGTGTCTTGATTTTCTTTTTTATAGAAATACATAAACGTTGTGGCACAAATGTCCCTCACCCCCCCCCCTAACCTCCAAACTTTTTTCCCGTGTCACTTCCCAGATGCGTCTGTAAACTAATGGCGTCCAAGGCGCGCATCGTGGTCACCAGCAAGCTCGAGCATCTGAAGCGAGCTGACCGGATCCTCCTGCTGCACAATGGAGACTGCTACTTCTACGGAACCTTCTCGGAGCTGCAGGCCAAGCGGCCCGACTTCAGCTCGCTGCTCCTCGGCATACAGACGTACGACAACTTCAACGCCGAGCGCCGCAGCTCCATCCTCACAGAAACCCTGCGCCGGGTGTCCGTGGACGAGACCGCCGGCTTCCGGGGGCCGGAGGCCATGCGCCAGTCCTTCCGACAGCAGCCGCCTTCCATAATCCCCCCTGGGTCCCAGGGCCACGCCGGAGGCGACGGCTACCCAGAGAAACGCAAACAGTCGCTGATCCTCAGTCCACTGGCGGCCGCGCGCAAGTTCTCCTTCATCGGAAACTCCCAGCAGAGCGCCAGCGCCCCCCAGTCCACCGCCATAGAGGACGGAGTCCAGGAACTCTCCGAGCGGAAGTTCTCGGTGGTGCCCGAGGACGACCAGGTGGAGGAGGTGCTCCCCAGGGGGAACCTGTACCTCAACGGGCTGCAGTACCTCAACGGGCAGAGGCGCCAGTCGGTCCTGGCGTTCATCACCAAGACTCAGGGCCAGGAGCGCCGGGAGCAGATGCAGATTCAGTCGTCCTTCAGGAAGAAGCTGTCCCTCACGCCGCAGTGCGACCTGGTGTCCGAGCTGGACATCTACGCCCGCCGCCTGTCCAAGGACAGCGTTTATGACATCAGTGAGGACGTGGACGAAGCTGACATGGAGGTAAAATTCTGTTCAAGTGGATACATGTTCCTCTTGATTCTTCCAGTAGAATCTTTTCTCGAGTTTGCGTGAACGTACAAAATGTAGTTAAAATTGAAGAGGAACTTTGAACTGGTAAATGTCTCAAACAAGTACTGCTCCTCGATGTGACAAGACCATCGGCCAGAAGGTAGGCTTCAGCTTTTAGGAAGGCTAACATCAGGGTGACATCATGCCGGCTCACCAGAACCACCTTCAGCTCAAACCAGCAGAGACCGGTCCAACTCCTCTCTGCTGGAGGCCCAGGAGTCATTACTGGACCCACTGGAGGGAAGGAAGGGGAACCATGACCAGGAGTGAGAGGAGGAGTGAAGGGGTGGACTGTCAGAGCTCTGCAGCAGTAATTTTAGTCTCTGTGGGGGCAGGGGGCAGCACAAACCACCCAAAATAAAAGTTCCTCATAGTAAATTAGAAGTTTGTTGGGTAAAGTTCTGATCCGTTTGTTCGCAGCAATGCTTCGCAGACGAACGTGAGAACATCTTTGATACAACCTCATGGAGCACATACCTGCGCTACATCACCACCAACAGGAGCTTAATCTACGTATTAATCTTCATACTTCTTGTCTTCTTCGTTGAGGTAAAATCTCCATTCGTGAGTTGTTATTTTACTGGGAAGTCTCAGTAATTAATATATATTTACTGTCCCCATCATTAGGTCGCTGGTTCAGTCATTGGCATTTTCCTTATCACTGAGTAAGTAGTAAGAAATACTAAAATACTTGTCAAATTAGATTTGAACAAAAACATTCAATGTATTGTTAAAGAAATATATTAATTTGATAATTAAAATTTCTACAAATATGCTTTGTAGATCAAATACAATTCATGTTTAAATTCGCCCGACTTGTCGTGTGTTATGGTCGTTTTTTTTGTGTCAGTTTGGTTTAAAATTCCAACCGTTTGTCTTTTGCTCCGTTTCCAACCAGCGAGGTCTGGAGGGACGCCGCCAACCCGACGGCGCCGACCTTCATCAGCGCGCAGAACCCCAACTCCTCCTCGCCGCCCGTCCACCTGGCGGTCATTGTCACGCCGACCAGCGCCTACTACATCATCTACATCTACGTGGCCACGTCGGAGAGTGTGCTGGCGCTGGGCTTCTTCAGGGGCCTCCCGCTGGTGCACACGCTGCTCACCGTGTCCAAGAGGCTGCACGAGCAGATGCTCAGCGCCGTGCTCAGGGCCCCCATGGCGGTGCTCAACACCATGAAGACGGGTGACCTTCACAGCTTACCTCTTGTTATTTCAGTTTGCTTTAAAATGCATTGAAGAAAAGAATTGAACGTGTTTTCGCGGACTTTCAGAATCTGTGGAGACGTAATGAAAAAAAGACCTGAGCTTCCTGTTTGTCTCTTTCAGGCCGCATCATGAACAGGTTCACCAAGGACATGGCCACCATAGACGACATGCTGCCGCTGGGTGCTCTTTGACCTCATTCAGGTATTAAAATGATTAATAATGAGAATGAATGTGAAACAAGTAAAATCACACTCTCCGTATTTAAAACCAAATCTGACTAATCAATTCAAATCAAACTCTGGTTCCCTTTCAGAAACTATAATCCTTAAAAATCCCCTTATTCAAATGTTTTCTCAGGTTTTAGAGAAAGAAAACAAATCGAGTTTACCTTTTCTTTTTCGTTCGCTGTTGGAATCAAGTCTAATCATCTTCTTTCTCACCAGCTCACGTTGATCGTAACGGGCGCCATCTTCACCGTATCCATCATCCGGCCCTACATCTTCATCGCCGCCATCCCGCTGGCCGTCATCTTTGTCATCCTCAGAAAGTACTTCTTACGAACTGGACAACAACTCAAGCTACTGGAGGCTGAAGGTGAGCGTTGACGCAGCATGTGTCATTCTTATAAAGAAAGATGCATTTGAATAGATCTTAAATTGAAATGTTTATTCAGAAATATGTTCTAAATGCATTTATTTAAAATGTCTTCAAAGCCTAAAACATGTGAATAGAATATGTGGGATTAGTTTTATGTTTTTCTTTTAAATAAAGAAATCCAAATGCTTTATGACGATATGAAATCCATGTGGATAAAACACCACATGAGTGTCTTTAGCTCTTGAAATGACGATGAGATGGCAAATATTCAGAAAGTAAAAGTGAGAACATAATAGGAAAACCGATAGAGTGAACAGAGGAAGCGGGACTGGGAGGTGAGAGGCCCGGGGCCAAAGGTCACCCTGAAGAACAAAAACATGACAGAGGAAGGGTTGATGAAGAGGATGGATGGGCAGCCTCAGAGGGGCGGGAGCAGTCAGAGGAAGGGAGGCAGGCTGAATAAAACAAGCGCTTTCCTCGGGTTAACGTTTTCGAAAAGCTTTCACACATTCCACACGGTTCGCTGTTTTGGGGGGTTAAATCTTTTTAACTACTAAACGCTCTTCCCTAGTCGTGGAATAAATGAGGAGGTGCAAAAGCCTGCCACCATTATTTTCACAATGAAGAGGACGTACGGCAGAGATTTATTAGATACACATGTAATAAGAGCTTTATTACATACATATGTAATAAGGGCATTATTACATACACATGTAATAAATCTATGATACGATTAAGCCCTTGGATGACATCACTTTGGCTGGCGGGCTCCAGCGACGCTCCGACAGAGACGCGAATTGAGCCTGAAGGTGAAGGGTGGAGTCGAGCATAGGTGGAGAAAGCGCCTCAGAGAGATGCAGCATGTGTGTGTTTTCTTTGGACCGCCCTGTCGGTGAATGTGCGTTTTTTCGGGGTGATGCCAGCGAGGTCTTTTCCTGCGAGCGCGTCGGGGTCACGGAGACGAGCCGCGCTGGGATTTCCTGCAACCCCATCCTGATGCAGCGCTCCGTCTCCGATGTGCCACGAGCAGAGGACAAAGTACAGAGGACGTGTTATGAGTGTTACTCACGCAAATGTTTTCGCTTTCTGGAAACGTTTGTTTATACATAAATCATTCCCCTAATAAATCCAACTGGTTGAATAAGTAGTGAATCTAAAGATCATTGTGAGACGGAGACATGTGACTCGTACCACACAGCCAAATATGACACTGAGCCTCCTCCCCCGCAGCTCGCAGCCCCATCTTCTCCCACCTCATCATCTCTCTGAAGGGCCTGTGGACCATCCGGGCCTTCGGCCGGCAGACTTACTTCGAGACGCTCTTCCACAAGGCGCTGAACACGCACACAGCCACCTGGTTCAACTACCTCTCCACGCTGCGCTGGTTCCTCTTCCGCTGCGACATGATCTTCGTCCTGTTCTTCACGGCCGCCGCCTTCATCGCTGTGGGAACCAACCGTGAGTGGCTTTCGGGGCGGGTGGGGTTGCCGTTTGGATTTGGGTTCAGGTTTGCAGCAGAAACGCAGAATACGACGTTGGTGGCGGTTTGTCCTCATGAGTCCCGGGTAGGAGGAGAGAACATCTGGTGGTTCCGGTCCGTCGGTTAGTGAGTAAACAGCGTGTTGTTATTTCCTCCGGCTCTTATCTGTGTGTCACAGGGTGCAGGGTCCGGTATCAGGACCCCAGCAGGCCGTGACAACTGATCAGAGGAGCTGGAATGCAGAAGGATAAAATGTCATGTACAGGAGGAAGTGTGTGTGTGTGTGTGTTGTACCCTGCTGCTGCGTCATGGCCCCGTGTTTGTGCTGAGAGCACATTAAAGGCTCATTTCACAGCTCATTATTTTCAATAGGGCAAGAAGCTGTGACCCCGCCCCCCCCCAACGCTGCCCCGACATCAGAGAGAGCTGTCTGATTGGTCAGTATTGGTGACCGTGTGTCTGTGTGTGTGCTCTCTACAGAGGACAAACCAGGGGAGGTGGGCATCATCGTGGCCCTCGCCATGCTCATCCTGGGGACATTCCAATGGGCTGTCATCACCAGCATCACTGTGGACGGACTGGTACGTGGTTCACACACACACACACACTGTCCCACCCGACTGGCTTTAATAGAAACACAACTATTGAGTAGCCATGAGTGGGTCGGGCACGGAGGTGTGTTTTCATGACTAAAGGAATTATCACATTGACTTGAAGTGTTTCTGATTCTAATGTGTACAAGAAGACAGAATGTTGGTTAATGAAGTCGCGTCTGCAGATGCGTTCGGTGGACCGCGTGTTCAAGTTTATCGACCTGCCGTCCGAGGAGCCGCTGCCGGAGAAGTCGGGCGGCAATGGAGAGCCGGACCTCGTCATCGACAACCCCTACGCTCGGGGCTGCTGGCCCAACCGGGGCCAGATGGACGTGCGGGGCCTCACCGTCAAGTACACGGAAGCCGGGCGCTCAGTGCTCAGCGACATCACCTTCTCCGTTGAGGGGGGGCAGAGCGTGAGTGTGTGTATGTGTGTGTGTGTGTGTGTGTGTGCGTGTGTGCGTTAATGAAACAGGGAGGAGTGATGCATGTTAGCATGTAGATGCAGCACGTTAAAGGCCTCCTTTGTGTAGATCGGCCTGTTGGGTCGGACCGGCTCGGGGAAGAGCACCCTGCTCTCCGCTCTGCTGCGCCTCGCCTCCACCGACGGGGACATCTCCATCGACGGCGTCTCCTGGAGCTCCGTCTCCCTGCACACGTGGAGGAAGGCTTTCGGGGTGGTGCCGCAGGTACATCAGCATCAACAGATGTGCACAATTCAGCTCTTTGGAGGATGTGCAGCAAAAGGGCTTTACGAGGAAGGAAAAAAACAATAGAAACAGAGATAATGGAAAAATAAGATGAAAATAAGACACGACTAATAATGTATAGGGATTGAGAAGTACATTCTTTTACACTTTGTATTTTTAAAGCACAGCTACAAAATTTGTATCGGCATCTTTTTTAATGTGATTTGACTAATAATTCGACTGGGCTGTTCAAAATAAAATGAATTGAATTGAATTAATTTTGCCAATTGTGCTTTTAGCGTAAAAGAAATGAGAAATAAACTGAGATTAAATAAAATAAGCTTACTGAACATATTACCGCTCAATGCTCTGTAAAATATATATCGATCTATATATATATATATATATATATATATATTTAATGTTTTGTAAAGTAAAATATTCTGCACAGATGACACCAAAATGTGTTAGGTCACATGACCTAAAGGTCTTAAAAAAGTAAAATGCTGTAAAAAATACCACTGTTGTTATTTCACAACAGCCTTTAAACATTTAAAATGATTTCTTAACAGAAAGTTTTTATTCTGACCGGGACCTTCCGGATGAACCTGGACCCGCACGAAGGACACAGTGACGAGGAGCTGTGGAGGGTCGCCGAGGAGGTGAGGCCGCTTCAGGGAAAGACCTTTTTATCCAAAAGTATCTCAAAATCTTTGTCCTCTGGAGTGACCTCTGTCCGCTGGAGTGTCCTCTGGAGTGTCCTCTGAAGTGACCTCTGTCCTCTGTGTCCCAGGTGGGCTTGAAGTCTGTGATCGAACAGTTCCCAGACAAGTTGGACTTCCAGCTGGAGGACGGAGGCAACGTGCTGAGCAACGGACACAAGCAGCTGTTGTGTCTCGCCCGATCGATCCTCAGCAAGGCCCGGATCCTGCTTCTGGACGAGCCCTCGGCCTACCTGGACCCTATGTCAGTGTGTTTGTGTGTTTGTGTGTGTGTGTGTGTGTGTGTGTGCTAGTAACCCAAACCATGAAATATGAGAAAAACGTTTTTATCAAGCAAAATGAAACATACATGTGGTCATTTTAGCAAAACGTTAATGTTTAATGTGTCAATATGAAAACGAATCAGAGGGAGAATTCTTTTCAGGGGGTAATTCAGGGGGGGTATTAATATGAATAATAACAATTATTAATATTATTAACTATTTAAGAACCCTTGAACCAGCGTGAGCATCCTGTCTCTTTGATATTTGGCTTTTCGCGGCTTTAATGGAAAGTTTAGAAGCTTTAAATCTAAAAAGAACCGGTACCCCATTCCGTCGCTCCATGTGGTGACAATCTGGGAGTGCTTACAGTAATTCTGTGTGTGTGCGTGTTTGTGTGTGTGTGCGCGAGTGTGTGTGAGTGTGTGTGTGTGCACACACAATAGTAAATTAAGCCTATAATGGGCAGTCTAGTTTAACGTTAGTTTAACGCTAAAGCTAATGTGCGTTAGCAGTCAAGGGAGACGGCCTTTGATGATGACGGTGGTGTGTGTGTGTGTGTGTGTGTGTGTGTGTGTGTGTGTGTGTGTGTGTGTGTGTGTGTGTGTGTGTGTGTGTGTGTGTGTGAGCAGAACGCTGCAGGTCCTGAGGAAGACGCTGAAGCACGCGTTCTCCGGCTGCACCGTCATCCTGTCGGAGCACAGGGTGGAGCCGCTGCTGGAGTGTCAGTCCTTCCTGGTGAGAAACGCGGATTTCTTTATTCAGCTTTATTGAATATTTTACTTTATTGATGGAGATTATAAAATGAATTATAAAACAGTCCGATCCAAACTATTTGACCCCGTTTCAGATTTGTTTTAGTCAGTGTTCAACTTCCTTTTTATGAATCCCAAACCTACCTGTGGAGGTAATGAGCGTCATGTGCTGGTCCTCATGGATGCTTCTCCTCTCTGCTGGTTAAAAGAGCGTCACATTAGGAACGTAGCGCTGCTAGCTAGCTACGGCCATGTTTCGTTTATGGCACAGTCCAAACGAGAACGACGAGGCCTCTCCGGGCTCTTCAACCCCCCCATAGAGAACACTTCACTGGTTCTTTGGTCTCAGCCCGTCGGTCCAGGTGGACAGTAAACCGAGTGTAGAACCAACAAAACATAGAACAACGTCCTGCTGCTGAATCAAGTGGAACCCAGCTGCTTTTCTTTCCACACACACACACACACACACTAGGTGGGTGTTTGTTGTTGCTGTGGACCTAACGAGAGCCTCCTCCTCTCCTCCAGATGATCGAGGGCAGCTCCATGAAGAGCTACGACTCCATCCAGAAGCTGCTGAACGAGACGAGTCACCTGAAACAGGCCATGAGCCCCGCCGACAGGCTCCGTCTCTTCCCGCCGCTCCACCGCCTCAACTCCAGCAAGAGGGCGCCGCCGCAGACCGCCAAGATCTCCTCGCTGCCGGAGAAGGCCGAGGACGAAGTCCACGACACCCGCCTCTAACTGGCCACACACACACACACACACACACACACACGCAACAGCGTCTCTGTGAGACACAAACTCTCCCAGACATTTTTTCATCAAACTCAATTTGCAGACTTTGCACTGAATCATTAGGACTTAGTTTCGATCAATATACTGATTTGATACACACACACACACACACACACACACACACATAAGCAGAAATGTAAACATGGCAGAGAACATGTGGCCTCACACACAGTTGGAGCATGCAGCTAATTCGTTGACAGTGAATTCAGGATTATTTGATTTTGAAAAAAAAAAGTGTGATGTTTGAATCAGGTGTTTTAATTGCAGAACTGAAAAGCGGCACGTTTAAAAAGTGCTATAAAATGTGTGTGCCACTTGATTGAACCAAATTTGACCATTGCGACAACAAAAAAGGTTCCGTCGCCGACCGCCTGTCGCTGTCAGTGTGTCACAGAATTAGAACAGTGTGAATGAACCGGTGTGTTTGTGCTGTTGGTGCAGCGGAGCAAATCGCAGACGTGATGCTGAGATAATAACGCAGTTCCCTCTGAGTCACCAACTCTGCCCTCACCGCGGAAACGGCCTTCGCAGGTTGTTGTTGTTGTTGTCTTCTCATTGTCCTCATAAATTTCAACCCTTAACTGCGGATATCGTTTGCTTGAAAAAGCATGAATTGTGATGGTTTTTTGTCAACAAGAATTCTTAATTCTTCGTCTGAATTAAGGGTGTTTTACTTTCAAAGAAAACATGCTTTTGTTCTGAGCAATCTGATACTTTTTCAGTGTCCTTGGATTGAAGACTGAGCGTGAATATATCAGCTGTAGGAGACCCCCGTTTTGCTCCTGTAGGAATAATAAGTGTGGCTATGAGCGCTGGTCAGAGGCACATCAACAGTACGCTTCAGGAATAAATCATGTAAGGACGTGAGTAGCAGGTCTTAAGTGGATGCTGAGCCAGCTTCTCCAGTTCTCCTCGTCAGCCTCTGAAAGGCGGTTCCTCTGTTCATATAGAAGTGTATGAGAAAATGACTCTTCTCTCTGCAGTGAACATTGTAAACGTGTTTATGATCTCAAACTCTAACTCAAGACTTCTTCAATACATCATGATGTTCATTTAGTAAATTATCATCCATGTAAAGTCAAACAGACCACAACGCAGGGGATGCTTCAGGGTGGGGCTTACTGTGATTGACAGGTCGTTTTCCAGTCTGTTTTTCAGTTCATGAAAGCGAATTGTAACATTTGTCTTACGTAGCTCCGCCCTCTTTCTCCGTCCACACAAACGCAAAGCAAACGACTCCATCCGCTCGCCGCCTTCTGGCCACGAGGCATCGATTGAGGGCTACGCCATCGGTACGGCTTCAATAGCGCGTCTGATTGGTCCAAGTGGTTGGTTTAGTCGACGCCCACGCAGACAGGAGCAGTGACGTCATTGGCCGCCGCAGAGATCTTTATTTTTGTTGTTTGCACTTTAGAGGCGAGGCGAGGTACTGAGCAGCTTCCACCGCGACGACCTTCTTGTTAACTGACATCACTTTTTTCTTCAATTCTTCCGCTTGTTAATATCAAAAATAAAAAGTACATTTTCTATTTGAAATATATATTTTTTCAAAGCTGTACAAACGCCTGCAATTATGAACAATTCCATAGTTCTACCTTTTCCTCACAGGGCTCATAAAACCGTGTAATAGTTTAATAAGATTAAAAGGTACCACAAAGGCCTTCACATGTAAACTGTGACAGATTTTCTTTTTTTTACGGCGTAACTGAAGAACCAAGCTGTTTGTTGCTCATAGGAACCGGACGCAGATGTCCAAAAACATAACGTATTTGTTGGATCAACTATATTTCCAGTGAAATTATAAAGATTTTGGAAAAGTTGTCGTTTTTGTGTTGTTTGTTTTAAAAGGAGATTTTGTTTAGAGAAACCTTTGGATTTTTTTTAGGTTTACATAAATCATTTCTACTGTAAATGCAACACAGGCACAACAGATTAATAAATATATGCAAATACAGCTTATAAATATTAAATTTCTTTACCCACAAAATGAAACGTGTCAATTCCAATGCTTTCAGAAACAAAAATAAAAGGGAAAAGATATTTACTTCTTTCCACTTCTAATTTACTTTATAAACTCTTGTTTTAGATGATGTTGTTAAGTGACCTGCTTCCTGTTGAAATGTACAAAATGTGGACCTCATCTAACATTTCAAACTAAACGATTATGATCAGATCCATGATCCAACATACGAACATCATAAAGATGGACATTGGATCGTGAACTGTGTTTTATTAAAAAGAAACCAAAGTCCGATGGGGATTTTGAACAGTGACATTTTAATGTGCTTGAAAAGACATTTCTTTAAACTTCAAACAGCGATTAAAAATCATAGGTGGACTAAAATCTCTCCTGTACATATGTATAGATGTATTTATATATAAACATTATCCTCTTCACATAAAACATGTCCTCAAAGATAAGAGAGCACAGTGTGGATGGAAAGCAAATCAAATACAGTACGAGGGGGGGTCTTATGGCTTACAGCTGATCGGACGTCCTGTTCTACTCTTCTATTACTTATTGCCACGGCCCGACATTCTCAAACAAGTGACGCTTCAGAACCAAACATCTCCTACCAACACTTTGTACACTGTTTTGTTGTCACAAGTTCCGCTTTGCGGTTTCGTCACTGCACAAGCGTCATACCACGTACACCAATCTATAGACTTTTAAACGTACTAATTCTTATTTACATATATATTTGGTAAAACCCTGATTCAATTCAACAGTATTTAAACCAACCTTGCAACTATTTAAAGATTAAACACTTGAATACCTCAAAATACTTATAAATTAAAAACCTGCTAGTTTCTTTCTTTGATCCAAAAACACTTCACTAAAAAGGTAACGGCTCCAGTTACTCTTCAATGAACTTATACCAGTAGGACTGCACAGTATTTCACTCCAAGTACACACAAGTCGGTACGGTTTTGAGGCAGTTTCCACCATTTAAATACTTGATCGCTTCTACACCGTCCCATAACAAGCAGGTTGTTACACTGGAATAAGGCGACAGTAATGTAACCGTTTAAAAGTCTCACCAAACCGAAACAAATACTTCAAATACTGTGAGAGAATATAACTATGGTCCCCAAGTACACAACTGTAGTACACTGTAACGAGTACGGATAACAAGTACAGATACTAAAAGTCAAAGGTCGTTGGGTACTTTATGTGTAGGGAGGGAGGAGGGGGTGGGGTTCAGGGTGGAGGGGGGGTCTGCTTGTTGCGTTGCTGCAGGTCTTTGTGGAGAATCCAGATGTCCTCGTGTGATTGGCTGCTTTCGTTGATGCCGTTTTGGTCGTTGCTGCTGCTCGGCTTCGTTCTGCCGTTGGTGGTGTTCCTGCTGCGGGTGGAGGGCGTCTGGCTGCGGCTGCTGGAGGCGGCGGCTCGTGTCTGCTGCCCTCTGCTGCTCGGGACGGGGAGATGCGACTTGACGCGACAGCCGGAGCGCCGGTCGGACGTCTGAGGGACGCAGAGACACATTCTGCTTTTGTCCTCTTTTACAGGCGAGATTCAACATCTTTAAATCAAGATTTCATATCAGTGAGAAAAACAGACGAGTCGATGATTTAAATCTACCGACTTGAGGACTCGTTCCAGGATCAGCGTGTTCAACATATCGTTATTATTGTGCAGCCGGAATTTTGTTTATTAAACTGTGCAGATCGGCAAAAAAAAAGTCAGAAATCCCACTAACAAGCGGAATCATATCGGCGCTCTTCTGTCACACCAAAACAATGAGGTCGCTGTTAAGTACAACCCGTGAAACGTGTAGCGCTGACGGGTCAATTACGTGTGAGGCGACACAAAAAAACAAAACACACAATTAGGAGATGCATAAAAACAGAAAAAGTCACGTCATGTGCGGTTTCCATCCACTCAGATCAGACACAGCAGCGCTCAGGATGAGTGATGACGAGCTGTCAATCATTCCCCCCCTCTCACCGTCTGCGGCTGCTGCTGGCAGGGGGGCTCCCGCTCGGCCGTGGGGGGGAGGGACTCGCCGGAGAACAGGATCAGGTCGTCTTTGTCCCGAGAGATCTGTGGGAGGACGCAGGAGAGCGAGGGTGAGGGCCCACCCCTACACACACACGCACACGCACCGATGGCGTGTATATTCAGGAGGGTGACGGAGGGGAGTTTATCCCTACAGAGCAGTGAAAACATGTGACCTAATGTCTGATCTGCTGTGTGGCACCTATTGACACGCCGTGGTGGTTTAAGGGGGCGGAGCCATGTTGAGAGCACGTTGGCGAGCGGATGCAGCGAGGAGGTCCTGGTGTCAACCAGCATATTTCACCTAAACACCAGTTTGGCGTCAGATAGATTATCAGAGCGTCGTTACCTGGCTGATGTCCGGCTCTGACCTGCTGGAGCAAAGCGTCTTCAGCTCTCTGATTAAATCCGTCTCGTCATCAGAGAACACGGACAGACCCTCCGGCTCCCTGCGGACAGCGACACTCAGAACACGCAACAGGCCAATGATCACGCTCACGCACCGACGGTGGTCAACACAAACCTGTGGCCGTTGCCGTTGGCGGTGAAGCTGACGTCGGTGCTGGACAGAGAACCTGCAGACAGGTGGGTCGGGTTATAAACCCGACTAAAGCTGAATATGATGTCGTTAATAAGCAGCTTTCTACTGAATGTGAGATCGCCCCCCGGTGGCTCCTGCTGACACTTCACCATCAGATCCACTTTTCTGTGTTTGATTATTAGCACATCTTTGTCTTGAAAAGTTGCAGGAGGTAAATATGGAGGTCCAGACCCCCCCCCCCCCCAGTGCCCCATCCAGGCCGCCTTACCTTCTCTGAAGGAGCCCCCGGAGCTCCAGCTCAGGGCGGCGCCCCCCTTCTTGCGAGGACTGGTGTTGGACCGCCTCAACCTGCCGCCGTCCCGTCCCTTCCTTCCTCCCCCGCTTCCTATGTAGCAGCCGATGGCCGACAGAAGGAAAGTCACGCCTTGAAACTCCAGCAGGTACCTGTCGATCTCTGCGAGAGAAGAAAAGAAAAGTGGGCGCACGTTGGTGCAGAGATTCCCTCCCCATCACCGGCAAGGAGGAATACGCACCATGGCGAGGCAGAGGGCAGCCCTGGAGGACCGCCTTGTTGACCAGGATGCTGAGCGCAGCTTTCACCACGGCCTGCTGCCCGGCACTCAGGCCGCAGTTGCTAGGAGACGTTCGATGCGACAAAGAGGAGGAGGTGGGGCAGCGCCTGGCCGTTACCCGCGAGATGACGGCTGCTTCCACGCGGGGGACGACCACTACGTTCCAGAGCCGAGCCAGCCACCTGACGCGCCACAGAGAACGTGAGAGAGAAAGTCACACGGAACGTCACAGGACAGGAGCTCGGGAAGTGGAACGTGCAATTCGCTGTTTCACAAACACACCTTACGACCGCCTGCGTGTTGTCGGGGGCGACGGGGCAGGACAGGAAGAGCTGGGGGCCCAGCAGAGCTTCGTGGGTCCCCAGACGGGACAGACAGGCGTTGAGCTGCTCCCAGACGAGGCTCACCCACGAGGCGCAGCGCTCCGTGGCGCCTTCAGGTGACCAGACTCCGTTCCCATCTAGATGGAGGAGAGGAGAGATGGACCTTTAGTTTTTTCATTATTATATATTGTTTTGGTGTAGTGGTGGAGATCAGCCTCCAGCTGACCTTGTGAAGCAGCTTCCTGCGCAGGTGCCTTCCCAGAAGGCCGTGCAGCGGCTCCTGATCCCAGCGCAGCGTCACCCAGCGGAAAATGCTGCTGGAGGCGGAGCTCCGATCCCTGCAGGCGGGGCTTGGACAGCGTCGCAATAAGGAAGCTGCCTTCGCAGAAGCGGTGGGGACCTGAGGGGGGCGGGGGGGGGGATGACAAATGATGACATTGATGACAAATCAGTTGATGATGACAAATCAGTTAAGTCGGCTTATTTCACTTCTAATCAGAGAAGTTTTCCATATTTACTCCAATTTTATTTTAAAATATTTAAATTAGGGTTGTCAACATAAACGCATTAATGTATGCGATCAAAACATGCGATTAACTATTGACAGCCTTAATTTAAATATTAAAATGCCAACATCAGCGCTGGGCGGCACGGTGGTGTGGTGGTTAGCACTGTCGCCTCATAGCAAGAAGGTCCTGGGTTCGATTCCGCCCAGTGGCCTTTCTGTGTGGAGTCTGCATGTTCTCCCCATGTCTGCGTGGGTTCTCTCCGGGTTCTCCGGCTTCCTCCCACAGTCCAAAGACATGCTCTGGGGATCAGGTTAATTGGGGACTTTAAATTGCCCGTAGATGTGTGAGTGTGAATGGTTGTGTGTCTCTGTGTAGCCCTGCGATTGGCTGGCGACCAATAAGCGGTTTGACAATGGATGGATGGACATCAGCGCTGCTCTAAAACAAAGACAACCCTCTGGGAGGAAACATGATGTTTATGAGGCTCTTTTCGTTGAACTTGCCGCCCGTACCCGTGCTGAGGACCAGCGGAGAAGCAGAGCTCCGGTCATCCAGACTGTGGCAGAGGTCTCCCAGCAGGCCCGTTAGGGACGAAGCCTTCTCCAGTCCCTCCAGCACCATCACCACACAGGCACCAGTGGACGCCCCCCCCACCGGCACCAGGAATCCTGAGACGGACACGAGCAGTATTCAGAGACGAGTCCCTGAAGGATCCACTAATGTACCTCCATCGCCACGGCAACAGACTCCTCCTCTCTGCCGATGTCAGGGAGGTGCTGATAATGGGGTAACTAATGTTTTCTTTTTGTTGGTTTCTAAATGGATTTCTGTGTATTTTACAAATAAACACGATTTTACTCATGTAAGTCTGATTA